GCGTCAAGGGAGAAATTGGGAGAGGTAATTTGGCCAGGAGAGGACGAGGACCAGGTATTGTTCAGGAGGGACTATCGGATCAATTTTTTTAATTGGTTTGACATCCAACCGGGAGCTTCTTTGAGATCACCAGCTTATTTTCTAGACCCCTTTCCTCAGTCTGAGCTTGCTTTGGTAGATATGGACTGGTTTGGGGGAAGGGAAGAAGGTTAAGGAGAGAGAATAAATAGTGGAGATTTCAGTTAAAGGATGCTAGATAGATCACTTTTATTTGGCGGTCAAACTTTGACTGAAGAGGCATCCTTAGGTGGAAAAGTTGAGGAAGCAATATTGATTGATCTAAACAGATTTAAGGGACGCTGGACCCGTTTTCCAGCAGGTGCAGCTCCCCACCAATAGAATGGAGCCCCCGGAAGGATAGATAGGAGGGTATGCTCTTACCATCCCCCCTATCTGTCATAGACGGGGTTAAAAAAAAAAAAAAAAAAAAAAAAAAAAAAAAAAAAAAAAAAAAAAAAAAAAAAAAAAAAAGACTAAGCTAAACTATCTGATGCTGCCGGGATAACTCCGGGTTGAATTGTGAGGTCCCCGGCCTCGTCAACTGAGGTTTTTATTTTTTTATTTTTTTTAATCTATATCAGTATAATATCATTACTACTCGGTGAGGCGCTGGCATGTTTGTAGAAATCGAAACACTATTGGCAACAGAACTATGAGCTATGAATGAATTGCAAATCTCAAGAATGCACAAGGGAATGCGCAAGACGTTAACAAGATAACCCTAAAATTACTTCCAAGAAATTGCTAAATTATTAGGTGCACGACAACTCTAAAGTTATATCCATTCTTAGATCGAAGTACTGAAACCGGGCACATTAATATTGTCGATGGAAAATGGACGATTTAGAACAGCCAGGAGATCGGCCACATATAGAGAGTCGAAGTGGATTGCAGGGAATTCAAAGAGAAGAAGAGGTCGATAACCGCGACCACAGAATATACGAACGAGGAACGTATATTAAACCAGATTTTCCAGAATGGCACAGAGTCAAGCGTAGAACACTCCCCACACCACTCAAGGCATGGGTGACCGACCCTATGTCACTATTCCTGCTCGCGCCTGGGAAACGTTCCCACCGCCACAAGTGAGTCTCCACTCCGGCTGATGGCGCCCCCACCCAGTGGTCTTCAGGGTTTTGCATACCCAGCTGCAGTCTCGTTCCTTCGTCATGTTGATTCCCCAAATTCTACCCATAATACGTGAGTGCTGAAGATGTAAGCAGGAGTTCCCAGGATGGCCACTGGTCGAGCGTAGAACACTCCCCACGCCACTCAAGGCATCGGTGACCCTGCATCACTGTCTCCTGCGCTTGAAGAGCTACCACTTTCAGGAATTAAACTTCGATATGTTGTGTCCCGGTAGACAGAATGGCAAGCCCTTCCTAATGAAGAAACACACAAGTACCTGTCTCTTATACACATCTAGATGTGTATAAGAGACAGACCATAGGGCCGGGAGGAGGTCACGATCAACTGATAATGATGATAGCTGTCTCGATGATAGGTACCCCGCCTTAAAACATACAGCTAGGGTCTGT